TTGAATGGTTCGCCAAACTTAGGCGAAATTCATTCGGAAGTTTCCGCCAACTCGCTTCGGAATTCCTAAAGCAATACTCGATGTTCATTAATCCGGAAACCTCCGACGCCGACCTCTGGAGCTTGGCGCAAGAGGAGGACGAATCTCTCTGCGATTTCATGAGTAGATTCAAACTCGTCATGGCTAGGGTTAGCGGAATCAGCGATAAAGCCGCCATCGACACGTTAAGGAAATCGCTGGTTCAAATCGAAATTCCGCAAATGGATAACTCTCGAGAAACCACGGACGATCCAGGACGCGCTCCATAAGGCTACTATTTACATAACCATCGAGGAGGAGACTAAAATCCTGTCCGAAAAGCATAAGCCGATGAAAACGTCCGCAAAGGATAATGCGTCCGAGTAGAAGCAGAAAAAGAAGAATTCTCGTAACGACAAGTTCGTCCATCACGAGGGACATGATCTCCAAGGTGCGCATAACTACGCCATCAACTCCGGATCGGAGCAAGGGCGAACTACAGGTAACACGTGGACGAGAAATTTGAATTACGATAATAATACTTTCTGCGACCTCCACCAAACCCGTGGACACTCTACCGTGAACTGCAAAGTTCTCGGCGCTAGGCTTGCCGAAAAACTGATCGCGGGCGAACTCTCTGAGATATCAAGCGTCAAGGATCTCATCCGCAACTCAGACCGCCTCCCGAAAAATGACAGGAACTCGCGAGCAGAAACTCCGCCTCAGGGGAACCAGTCGGGCGAAAAGTGCGGACGAAGGCAAGACGAGAAGGGTAACGACGCTAACCGCTGAAAAATCAACATGATTATCGGTGAATTGCAATACTATAACGATACTGTCTCGTCAATCAAATCCTACCAACGTAATCCCGAAACCGGCTCGAGTTGGAAGGTGCCGACGGATGACTCTCCGAAAGGGGTAATCTCATTCAACGACGCTGAAACCGGCGGAATCGACCAACCTCACGCCGATCCCCTTGTCATCGACTTAGTGATAAGTGATTTAGAAGTTGCTCGAATCCTGGTCGATACCGGAAGTACCGTCAATGTGATCTTCCGCAACACGCTAGCACGCATGGGAATTGATCTCTCGGAATTCGAACCAATTCCAAAACCGTTGACCAGTTTCTCTGGCGAGACATCCATGACCCTGGGATCGATCCGACTACCGGTCGCAGCAAAAGAAGTGACGAAAATCGTCAACTTCGCGGTAGTCGATTTCCCGGCCATCTGCAATGTGATCATGGGCACGCCTTGGATAAATTCCATGAAGGCAGTTCTATCGACGTATCACTTAGGCATCAAATTCCTGACTCTTACAGGAATCGCAGCAATTTGGGGATGCCAAAGACAATCGCGATCCTACTTCCTGGCCGAACACAAGCTGCGGCAACTGGCGATCGCAATCGTGAAACCGAAACGGGCAAAGGTTACGCCACCGCCCGCGGAGGATGACCCAAAGCTCGGTCGAGAAACAAAAAGTTTCCGCACCCATCGATTCTACCCAACCGGAGGAGAAAAGCCCGGACAAAGACCTCGATCCAACAACTGAAGTGATCGAAAAGTCTGCGACAGCCGAGTAAGCATACTCACACAAACAATCAGAACTACGAGATGACTTTATTTCCGAAAGGAATACGTAGGCAGCTCGCCTAAAGACGAATTCAGCTATCCCCCCCCCTTCCAAAATGAGGGGGGGAGTGGGCGAGTATACGAGTATTTGTATACTCACAAATTTTTAAAACTTTCGCTTTGTAATCGAAAATGTTTCGAAACTTTTAATAAAGACAAAGTTAGAATATTATAAAATCTCCGCTACTATCGAAAACGCAAAAAAAAAACGAATTCAAAACATCCAGAAATCGCTTCCGCAGTAACAACTATTTAATTGTTTCTATGAAACCCGTACATCATAATATTTTCGGAAAGAACCGGCGAGACGTCGCCTAGATTCCCAAGAAAAAAATATTCCCCCAAGTCCGTCCGCGACTATAAAAACACGAACGCTCGGCGATTGGCCCCGTCGAGCACGCTAGCCGTCCTAAACAAACGCATCGACCTATTGGTCCGCATACATCCGACTAGGATAAAATAGCGCGCTATATAAGAAATCCAAATTTTTGGTCAGCACTTCCGGGCAACTTAGAAATTTTTCCCGGTGAGATGCTCGATTCCAACCATACGAATCATATAAGCCGAGAACCTATCGTGGATTCTAAATCGGTATGGAGCCAGGTTAAAATCGCAAAAGGCAAAACGAAAGCCGATTAGTCATCGCATAGCCTCAATCCGAAAGTAAACCTAGGTCTTGCCCTAAACCCAGCACACTTGTCGCTAACGTGTCAAGGCATGAATCGAGATCTTAAAGGCATGTCTCTTCGCCTACATCTAAACACTCGCGAAAATCGAAACCTTCCGAGTAAATGAATCGGACGATTTACACCAAGAGTTAGATGCGAGATGACAACTCGTATTCTTCCCTCTACATCTAAAAACGAAACGCAAATTTCATACTTAGAAAATATTTCTTAGAAAGTCTTCAAATACACACCGCCCAGCGGTAGGGATTCAAAGCCATCAACGGCCAGTCCCGGAAAAACAACAACAAAATCGTAAAAGCAATAACATCACACATTGAAGTCATCAAACGCGGACTGATCAACTTCTCCCTCTACATCCGAGATCCCAGGTCCGACCTCGACCGAATCCGGCGACACCACAATGGGGTTCCACTGATCCCACATGCGCGCCCTAAGATCGAAAAGTTCAGGCTGCATGTCTTTCTTCTGACCCACATGCCCCAATCGCGCGGAGTATTCCTCAGTAACCGAATACCCTTCGTTCTGAGTAAGGGACAACCCATGACCGACACTGCAACATTCGCGATAATCACCATGCACCCGTAGAGCAACTTCAGCATCCGAACAGCCAGTTGCAAACTGCTCACGGCGGGCCTTCATCTCCGCAGCAACCTCTCTCTTTCCTGCACGACGAGCACGACGAATTATTTGGTCGGAAAGCTCCTTAGCGCGGCAAGATCTAGCCGCACAGTCATCCCTCACACGAGCTATTTCCATCTCAACCTTTTCTTCGGCTTGGTTAGCCTTAACCTCCTCCCGAAGACGAGCGACTTCTTTTTCGGCCATATCTGCTCGAAACTCGGCAAGACGAGCTTCAGCACTACGGCTATCTAGGGCCCGGCTCATGACAAGGAAACCCTGCCAAAGAGCAGAAGTAAGCAAAATCATCTGACGATAAAATCGTTCAAAAAAAAAACGCATGAACCTCTTTAGCTAGCTCAGACACCCTAGCAAATTCCGGGACTTGATCATGATCAACTCCCAGAAAATGGGAGGTCGACGATCCACCCGCATTCGTCCACACACCTTCTTCCGCTTGACTATCAAGGTAGTCCTTGAGAATATTTTCCAGAGAGGCCGCACGTTCAGATTCGTCATCTTCAACAACCGGATGTTTATCCCTTTGGAATCTCGACTTGCTTCTCCTCATTGAGGGAACGTACGAGATAAATTCTCCTATAAACGGATCCTCTTCATAAATCGGAGAATCCGCAAAAAGCCGAGATCGGAAGAGAGCAACCGCCCGGCGGACACGCTGCGGAGAAAAACTGCCCCAGCCAACTTCCCCGCGCTTAAGCAAGTCAGTGATATTCGGGAGATCTACCGGACGCGGAGGTAAAGGGTTGGTCTCTGCGAAAAAACGAAATCGAATAAAAAAGAAGTAGCAGAAGGAGGAAATTTGTATGAACTCGAATCACGTACCTTTCCGACCCCACACGGTCGTGAAAAACGGGATGCAATCCTCCTCGACTGACGCACCGTCAATACGAACATAGAATAAATTTTTCTTCCAAGAAGAAGAGTTCAATGAGCAACCAGTGACGATTCCTTCGCGAGGGCACAACGTGATCCTTTGCGTCATCCCCGTGAGCTTCAGTAGACCCTCGAAATGGCCAATGCTGAGGATGATTCCCCGCTCGTAGCTCAGCGTCAAAAGACCAATGAGTTGTTTTAAACCAGAGGGAGTCAACTGACCGATCGATAATCCCAGCCTATGAATATATCTTCAAATCTTGTTTTTAGTAATAATTTTAAAGATTTTCTTTAATTTACTAGGTATTCATATTCTATCAAATTACTAATCCAATGTTGTGACAATTCTCCCTCTTTTCTCTTTTAATTAAAAATTTCACTTATGTTTTTTTGAATTACAAGTTTGTTATTTGACTTTTCTCATTCGCTCCTCCTCGTTCTCTTTAAATAGAGATCATGCAGGCTAACATTATACTCATCACCTGTTTTTCGACAAAGAGAGTGTTATTACTTAATATCAGTTGAAGAAAATGGCTTCAAAGACTTTGATTCTGTTTGGTATCTTTGCATTTCTTCTCGTTGTCTCAGAAATGGCCGCAGCATCTACACAGAAGTCGGGTACTTAAATTTTTTTTTTTTTTGGTGGGGTACGTAAAATTATTCTATAGAAAATAAAGGGTGTTCGGGAGGCTAATCAAACTGGTGCTGAAGTACTAATTTATAGTTTTATCCTCCCATTAAGTGCAGAGATTTGGCTTGAATGATGGTCAATTATTTGAACTTGCTAAGTAAAAACACACTTAAGTATGATTTTGTTGCTAACTTGTCTAGTATCAAAAAAAGAACTAAGAATTGACGACATGTATGATGTTGAATAGGTATCAGGCCATCTCAAATTATTTAGATGATCGGTGCAAACTTTATGTTGAAAACTTGAACGTATATGTAATGATGCAACTTATCTTTTTTATTGACTAAAGATCCGAAATTATATATATTTGAATAGCTTTTAGGAAAAATTTATTTAAATAATCGGGAAGTGGAATGCACATATGCACCTGCTAAACAATATCTATAAAATAATGAGGTGTTTTGTTTTGGATATGCACGGTGAACTCAGAGAGTGAGGAAACTGTGCAACCTGATCGATATGGTGGTGGGCATGGCGGAAATGGAGGCTACAACGGACAAGGAGGTTACAACAGAGGAGGAGGATAAAACGGAGGCGGAGGATACAACGGAGGCGGAGGATACAACGGATGTGGAGGACACAACGGAGGTGGAGGATACAACGGGGGAGGAGGATACAACGGGGGAGGAGGATACAACGGAGGTGGAGGGTACAAGGGAGGAAGCGGAGGATACAGGGAGGAAGAGGAGGCCACGGGGGGTACGGAGGCAGAGGAGGAGACGGGGGGCACGGAGGCAGAGGAGGCCACGGAGCAGAAGCTGTTCAGACTCAGCCTGGCAACTAAATCTATTAATATTTTAACCACTATGGATCATGGATGGTTTCATCTATGTATACACATATGTATGTGTAAGACTATAAGTAAACCATGGTGAGTTTGTAATGAAGGTACTTAAGCCAAATAATAGAAATTAAGTGTATAAAATTTCGTAATGTAATGTGTCTATGCCCGAGTTGTAATATGCGCTTTGCATAATAAAATCGTTAGTAGTTTATGACTAGGATTGCCGGTCCTACGGACAATGATATTAAACTAAATATTTTCATAAAATATTATAATATTAATAGATTTTTAGAATTTTAGATGGTCTTAATAATATTCATTGTGTAAGTTTTGTTATTACCAATATCAATTATGTTTTAATATTAAAATATGTTTATAGATACATATTTTTAATTATGATACTTATGTTAATAAGTACAATAAAGTACCAAATATTAAAATCAATAATCATAAATGATGTTAACATATATCAATTACAAAAATTGATGTTAGTATTTGTATCTTTCTTTTCAAATGATGTTATTATTTTTTTTTTACTAGAACTGACTTTTATTAATTTGGAGAAGATTCAACATAATCCTTATGCAAGGTTTCTGTCACAAAATGAGGAAAATAAAAATGATAATAGAAAAGAATTTCCATTCCTTCTCGTCCATGTAAATTCAATATCTTGAAATTTTGATTTCTACCATATTGCTTCTCGAGTCCAATTGTAGCCTTCAAAATGCAGTAGCTTGTTATTTAAGATATCTATGACTTTTTGGCAGTCACTTTCAATTATAATTTTTGTATATCCCTTGCTCCAGCAGAATTGCATCGCCATTACGACTGCTTGAAACTCACTTTCAAAGGCATTATTAACCTTCATCCCTGTGCTATGTACCGCTCCGTTGTAGTGTCCATTACTGTCCCGTAAAATCCATCCAGCCTGAGGTCATTCCATTGTATTGATAAAACAGCTGTCCACGTTACATTTGTACCATCCTGCTCTTGGTCTATTCCAAAAATGTTGTTGATGTCTTATCATACTGTTGCATTGTTGTCCATAGTTGATTTCCTGCTGTTTAACATTGTCGTCCTATTCCTTAGCATCGTCTCTACTCATCTGTAGAATTTGTGTCCATGGGATATGATTTTGTTGAAAGGTAAGTTTGTTACGACTTTTCCATATTCGCCAAAGATCCAAATAGGAAGATCTTGAAAATCAAGACAAGCTTCAATCTTCTCGTCCAGTTATAATAGTGTTCGAAATACTAGAGGCACGCCAAATCCTTTTTGCGTATGAACATTCAAAAAAGAGATGGAGTTCTGTTTTGTCCATGTAACAGCAACGTTGACATTCTGCTTCCTTTAAGTTATGACGTTGTTGTAGATTGCTCTTAAGGGCCAAACTTCTTGAAAGTAATCTCCACAGGAAATGTTTGATTTTGGGTGGAGAATGTGTCTTCCATATACGTTGTTTCAGCGTCACATTCCCAGGGATTGGTAAAGGAGGGTCTATAGTAGGTAGATGGCTACTCAGCTAATAGTCTGATTTGACAGAATACAATCCATTTTCATTATAATGCCAGCCTATGAGATCCAGTTTTACTGTGGAGCAGAGTTTGATATTTAATATTTTCTCCACATCTTCTTCTACAACTAACCTACGAATATTTTGTTCATCCCATTGTCTACTGGTATGTAGGAAAATTTTATGTACCTTAACTTCAGTTACATGCGGATGTAGTGGTCTTGGAGGCCGAGGTGGATGTTCCGAGATCCAAGGATCCGTCCATATGTTTATATGTGTTCCATTTCCGACAATTTACTTCATACCTTTACGAACTAGTTCTCGTCCATAAAGTATAAATTTCCAGGCATAGGAAGCCTTCCGTTTTTGTTTGGCATTAAGTATATCTTCCTCAGGAAAATACCTTGCCTTTAGTATCCTAGACATCAGATATTCAGGGTTTGCAAGATTCTCCAAACTTGCTTCCCAAGTAACGCTGGATTAAACTATTCCAAGTCGCTGAACTCTAATCCTCCTTCTCTTTTTGGTTTAAAAATCCGTTTCCAAGCGTACCAATGATACCCTTCTGTATCACTTGATCCCCACCAAAATTTCGCTAGGATACTGTTAATTTCTTCACATACCTCCTTTGTTAGTCGGAATATATTCATAGGAAATATTGGCATTGCTAAGGCGATTGACTTTAAAAGAACTTTCTTCCCTCCCCGCGACAGGTATCTTTGGTTCCAACCTTTGGTGACCTTCTTGACTCTGTCAATAATATACTCAAACATCTCTCGTTTTTTGTTTCCAACCTCTTCGGGTAAACCTAGGTATTTACCATTGCCTCCATCGTTATGTATTCCCAAAATATTTATCATGCTGTTTTCCTTTCTTGTGCCACCTTCTTTCCAAAATTTTTTTGAAGATTTACTGAGGTTGATAGCTTGTTCTGAGACCCTTTCATATGTCGCAAAAATTCTCTTTTGTTTTCTTGCTGCTCTGATATTGGCTAAAGAGAAGAACAATGAGTCATCTGCGAATAATAGATGATACATTGGAGAAGCTTGGGCTGCAACTTTAAATCCAATTAACGATCTATCAGCCATAGCCTTCTGCATCATATGTGATAGTACTTCGGCACAGAGTATAAATAAGTAAGGAGATAAGGGATCTCCTTTCCTTATGCCACGTAACTATTAAACCTTCTGGGGAGCAATTTATAAGCACTGAAAAAAGTCACTGATCTGATACAAGTCATAATCCATTGAACCCATTTGTCATGAAATCCCAATGCTCTCATTGTTCTCTACAAAAAGCACCATTCAAGTCAATCATATGCTTTCGTAATATCAGTCTTGACAGCCATGTAGGAAGTAGCTTGCCGTTTTCTCACTTTCAAGCTGTGAAAGATTTCATGAGCCACCACTATGTTATCAGATATCATTCTTCTAGGGATGAAGGCGTTTTGATTTTCTGAGATGACATTGTGTAAGTGTTTCTTCAATCTAGTTTCAAGTTTGGTGATCAGAAAGACCTTCCCATGAACCGTACATAAGTGTCGGTTCAATGAGGATGTTTTAGGCCAGATTTGAGTTTACTGATCCAAAACCACTTTTTACTGAATCAAATGGCTTGAAACTTTGAGGATAGATGTTTTAGAATATTTAAGAATTATTAGAAAAGACTAGGCACGATTTGGAGTTGATTTGCTCAAAAACCATATTTATGCCTAGGGCTGTTTTGGGTCGGAACATAGGGTTAGTGATTTTTCCTGTGAATTCTGACCTTGGATTCGTGTTAGTTATATTTTTTTGGTAATTTACAAAGCTTAACATTAATTTTTGGAGCACTTTTGAGTTTGACCAAAATTGGGCAGGAACATAGCCTTAGGCTCGGAATCATGAAATTGTTAGAACCTGTGCTAGGTTATCGGATTAATATGTAATTATTGTGCTTGTGTGGTCTTAGAGGATGTTTTCTTGTTGTCATACTGGTACCTGAGGGTAAGGCTGGTACTGGGTGGCGTGGACCACAAATATGGATCTAGTTGTTATTATGCAAGGAAGACTGTGTGTGATCTGATCATGAGTAAAGGGGGACGACCTGATCCATGGATGATGGATCAAGGTGTCTGCTCTGTTTGATAAAAGGATGCACAGGTTAGTCCAGGCGAGGGATTTGCTATCTTATGCTACAATCGTGAGGAAATGGGTGATGCATTAGCGGAGAGGAGCTAGATGCATTACCAATTCTGTTGAAGACTTCCCAAAGGTTACTTGGTCAGTGGTA